TCACGAAGTTCGTGTAGAAGAGGTGGGGGGCCTTCATCGGGAATCCGCAGATTTCCTTTGAAAGCCGAAGGCGAATGTCAGTCATCAGGTATCGCACGACTCCGAACGTCGACTTGTCCCCTATCAGGGAGACCCCCATAATTTAAAACGCCGAAGCGCTACATGGGCCTCGGGGTCAATGCCTGAAGGAATCGGCCCAACCCGTCGAAGCCCAAATCAGACCCTAAACCCTAAACCCCTAAGCCCTAAAGCCCCTAAGCCGCGAATTCCCACCGAAAAGGCCGGGGAGTTTCCGAAGACAGGGGGCCCTGAAAAAAAGTACCCCAAATAGTAGGATCCTTCTTAAAGGGCCCCAAAGTACCTAAGGGACCCTAAAGAAAGTACCCTGAATAGTAGGATCCTCATTATAAGCACCCCAAAGTAACTAAGGTACCCCCTTCATTTTCGGAAAACTATACAGAACTTAGAACCCTAGCAAAAGTTATAAATTTCGCTGTTTCTTAGGGGTTATAATAACCCAAAAATTTAAAAGTATTTCTAAGTACCCCTAAGAACCGCCTTGATACTCGTCCACCGGGACTGAGTGACCGGTTGCAGGTTGCGCTGTACCTGCGACCAACCCGAACCAGGAGGATCCCCCAATCAAAGGGGAAAAGGAGGGACCCTTAAGGGGGACCCCTACCCCATAATGGGCTATATAATGGGTATATACTAGCTATATTAAGAGTATATACCTAGGGGTCCTTATTAAGGGTCCTTCCTTTTACCCTTGGACCCCAAAATCCAGGGGCCTTAGTTCTATAAGGGATCTATGGGTTTAAGGTTTAGGGTTTGGGAGGATCCCAAAACTGAGGGGTCCTTATTTGGGGGATCCTTATGATAAGGATCTTACTATTTAGGGTGCTACCTTAGGGTCCCATGTTTTGGGAATTTTGGGGTCCTTATAATAAGGATCCTACTATTTAGGGTACTACATTAGGGTCCTCCTGATTTCGGAAACTGCCAACTAGGGAGGATCGGGTGCATGACTGATCTAGAGGTTTTCATAGCTCTCACCGCGGTTCGCTGTCATACCGTGGAATATACTTGCAAAATGTGCTCAGAGCTGTCTTGCTTGGTGACCACATGGCTGTTTACCGGGGAACCGGAACATGCTGAGCTGATTCTTGTATCCAAGCGTAAAAGGAGGGACCCTTAATAAGGACCCCTAGGTATATACCGCTATTATATACCCATTATATAGCCCATTATCGGGTAGGGGTCCCCATTAAGGGTCTCTCCTTTTCGCCTTTTGAATAAAGCAAACGAGGCTCGACACCTTTCATAACCTACACCCGGCGGCTATATTGGCAATGGCGGAGAACAGAGGTTGGCCATACTAGTAACCAGCAATAATTACCCTAAGGCTCCATAGTAGTTCCTTGTTGGGGCTGATGTTTAGAATCCTATAAGGCAATCCCAAGAAGGAACGGCCTACGGGTGGTAATTACAAGTAGCGATGAAACCCGGTGTTGAACTGCCAGTGAGGACCTCCTTCGAGGTTTAGCCTTAAGACTTTTCGAGGGTTTAGGGTTTCATTTGGGGGGGTTTAGGGGTTTAGGGCTTCAACCCTAAACCCTAAACCCTCAAACCCTAAACCCTAGGGGTTTAGGGTGTAAGTAAGACTGCCAAAGACTTAGGGCAGGAAGCAGGACGAAGTAAGGAATCAGGCAGACAAACTGGGCGACGAGGAGGCGGAAGGGAGGATCAGAAGTGTCAGGTTAACGGCAGCAAAAGAGTTACTACTACTACTACTACTACTACTACTACTACTACTACTACTACTACTACTACTACTACTACCACGACGACTACTACTACTACTACTACTACTACTACTACTACTACTACTAAGCAGTAGCAGCAAAAGACAAAGTAGTACTAGTACTAGTACCAGCACTAATACCAGTGCTAGTACCACTAATAGTACTATGAATAATGGTAGTGGCCGTCGTCGTAGTAGACCCTAAACCCTAAACCCCTAAACCCTAAACCCTAAACCCCTAAACCCCTAAACCCTAAACCCTAAACCCTATACCCTAAACCCTAAACCCTAAACCCTAGCAGCAGCCCGATCGGACTTTTGCTCCGCAGTTGCCCATCGCCTACGGCACCTCGTTGTGAGGGTCCTTTAGAGCATCCGGGGTCCAAGATGATTGGCTCCGGTCCAAGAGTCGGAGGAGGGAGGGTGTAGGGTTTGGGGTTTAGGGGTTTAGGGGTTTAGGGGTTTGGGGTAGGGTTTAGGGGTTTGGGGGTTTAGGGGTGTAGGGTTCAATGGTTAAGGGGTCTAGGGGTTTAGGGGTTTAGGGCTTCGGGTAGGGTTTGGGGTTGAAGGTTGCTTCAGGGGGCTGGCCGAATGACGAATGCTACGCAAAGCAGTCATCTGTAGCACTGCCTCTGCTGGTCGTAGCTTGCCCGTGTTCACGAGAAGTCTAAGAGGTGAGGGAAAAGTTGAACCTCCAAACCCCTAGAAACTAAACCCCTAAACCCTAAACCCCAAACCCCTAAACCCTAAACCCCTAAACCCCTGAACCCCTAAACCCCAAACCCCTAAACCGTTAATTCTTGTCAAAGTCAGGCGCAACGGCTTCAGAGTCGGAGGTGCTGCAAACCCAGATTTGGAAAGCAGGCCTGTCGGGAGAAGAACCTCAATGAGGCTTCAGGGTTTGGAGTTAGGCTTGAGATTTTAGGGGCTTAGGGTTTAAGGGTAGGGTTTTAGGGTTTTGGGCCTAGGGTTCAGGGCTTCGGCTGTTACGAGTACAAGGCTTTTGGGATGAGGGCGACAGGTCACATGGTCAAGGGAGCCTGAGGCGCGCAACCAAGTAGCGGAAGCAGTTCTAATGGCTGGAAATACAAGCAACCGCTGTTCCGATAATTCGTTACGAAATCGAATTCTGACAGTTTACGATCATTATTGTTATTACCATAATTCATTATTAATTAGTAATACTTATCATGACAGTTGACGATCTTTGTTGCTATTATCATGAATACTCCGAGCCTCCGACATGGTTTGAACTTCTGCCACTCCTATACGATTGCCGTCCCACCGGCAATGCCAGGTCTTGCTCCCATAAACGAAGACTAAACCTAAGAGGAACCTAGGAATAGAAAGGGTGCTCTTTTGGGGCTACAGGGGGTCTTAAGAGAACCTAAACACCTAAAAAGGAACTCTGGGTCCTAGAAGAAACACTTTCATCAAGCCCTTGGGTTTACCCAAAGGCCCCATAATAGTTCCTTTTTTTTTTGGTTCATATTTAGAACCCTAGTAAAGTAATCCCAAAGAGGAACTACTATGGGGCCTTAGGGTATTTCCTGAAGGACACCCGACACAGTTCAGGCATTCACAAAGCTGTTGTTGCTGCTCCCTTAATTCCGACGAAGGTTTGAGGGCTTATAGCAGGGTTTATGAAGTTTAGGAGAGCCAAGCGAGGAAACTGCAGGGGCCTGAAAAATAAGACAGTTCTAGAAAGGTTTATAGAACTGTGTCAACAGGCTTATACGGCTTACTATAGGGGCATGAATAATTAGACCGCGTTCTAGGAGTATATCATGTTATAGTTATATGGAGACTACAGGGGTTTAGAGTTTAGGTGCCTGATTATTGTGAGGGGGCGCGGGGGAAGATGGCGGTACGTGTTCATGCTTTTCGGTGGGATGGCTCGACAGCACCTACAGGAACACAGGGTGGTAGGATTTGCTTCCACTACAGGCAGACGGTTCCTGACTTTTTTGGCCCTAAGCCTCAGAGACTTGGCATGCCCATGGGAAAGCGCAGTGTGATGGTGCTGCTGGTTTAACCACTGGCTTCCGCCGCAGCGCCTAGATCGTGATGCTTCTGCAGAGCACTCTTGTCGGAGATGCACCACAGACTGGAGAAGGGCCCAGGATCTCCCTGTCCCTTCTCCGTGCGTCTAAAACTCCCCCATTCTTGGGGTCATCCCTGGCAAACTCTGCAACCGGGGCTTGTTGTGGGCAAAAGTGGAGGGACCTTCCTTTGATGTAGAAAATGCGAAATCTGATGCACCTTCCGAGCTCGCTTCAACCGCTAACCGTGGGTCTAAAAGCAAGGATCACCAAGAATTTCTCAGCTTGGTAGGTTCCAGAATCAATCATGGTGCCAGCAGCAACAAGAACAGCAGCCGTTGTTGTGGCAGTGGTCGATGCAGAAATAACAAGCGTACCATGATTCCCAGTACTAGCAAATGCGCATTGGTACTCGTAGTTTTTGCAGTAGTGGTCGATAGTGGTCGCCTTGGCGATAGCTGTAGCGGTAATACAACTGGCACCAAACAGCAAGTCAGCAAATCCAGGCATACTAACAAATGTGATCTATATACTCATGTTCTGGAGTAGGAATGCTCGTACTAGCTGCAGCCTGTAGACCAGCACATAGCAACAGTGGCAGCACGATACATACTGGCAGAACTTGTAATTTAGTGCTAGTAACACCAGTCATACCTAAAAGCACCAGTCGTCACTAATGGTGACTCATGGTAATGCCAGTAGCACTTCGTATACCAAGAATGCCTCCAACGTAGTAAGTTGTAGCATTAACTGTTGTGCTAGCAGCAGCAGCAGCAGCAGCTGCGACCTAGAAGGTGATACTGCAAAAGTCAACACACTGATTGCACTAATCACCATGACCGTGGCATGCCCAAATCTCCATGGTTGAACTAGTGGCGAGCTGCTCTACGTGACACTGATTTTGACGACGAGCTCTTTTTGCGGGGCTATTTCCTCTGAGATATCGGGCTTTGATGTGTCATTATCAATACTATTACTGGTATTACTACTTATGATTGTTGTTTATTATGTTTGTTATTATTGTGACCATCTCTTTTCTTGAGCTTGAAAGAATTTTAGTGGCTTAAGTAAGCTAAACGGCGTGAGCTGCTTCGACGTTGCAGGCATGCCCTGTTTTAATTTGCAGGAGCCGCAACTGCGAAGTCAGACCATCGTCACCTGGGTTCGAGAGGGGGTTTGGACTTTAGGGTTTTGGGGTTTTGGGATTTGGGGTTGTGGGTTTGGGGTTTAGGGTCTGGGTTGAGGGTTTAGGGGTTTTGGGCTGAGTGTTTAGCGCTCAGGGTTTGAGGCTTAGTGCTTCTTGGCGGCAGGTTTAGCTTAGGGCGGAAGGTTCTGTATCGCTGGACTCGTGTTTGAAGTCTCTAAACCCTCAGCGGTCCTGAACCCTAAATGAACCCTAAACCCCAAATGACACTGAGCCCTAAACCCTAAATGAACCCTAAACCCCACATGACACTGAACCCCAAACCCTAAACCCTAAGTGAACCCTAAACCCCAAACCGTGGCTCGCCGCGCGCATGTCTTTCAGAGTGTTTCCTGAACCGGTGTTTCGATCATGTGGCTCCAAACTCCTGATTAGGCTTAGGGTTTAGGGTTTTGGTGAAGATCGCGAAAACGGGGGCCGATGTAATGTTAGCGATTATGCTGTAACCCCAAGGGTCCAACGGACCCAATAATTGGGCACTCAGTTTTAGGATAGTAGTTACGTGGGTTAGGATTTTGGAGAGTATATGATTATTAGGTACTTGGACGCTTGGGGTAATAGGGTTTGCGGGTGATTGTACTATACTGTATACTTGTAAAAAGAATCCGAAGGATCTGAAAGATCTTGGAAAAAGTCAGTTGAATTTAGAGAGTGGCGACGTGGCATGCCCAGCAAGGGATGCTTGCTTACAGTGCACCTTTCTACTCAGTTGTCTTTCACCTCTTTGATTTAAGTGAGAGTACCACCAGCCTCCTAATATGAACATTACCGAAGGGCAACAGAATTGGGATGATGCCAGGGGGAGAACTAGCAGTCTCGCAGAGCACCCGTAGCCACCGTATCAACATGCTCCCACTGCAAAAGGACTCAGCAAACAAACGAGAGACAAATTATGATCTTTCCTAGTAGAGACCCATTTTAGGTACTTAGGCCTTAAAGTACCTAATTACAGAGGGACCGTCTTAACGCCTATGTATCTACCATATGGGCACATGGAGTCTTGGGGAAGGGGGTTGGTTTCAACAGTTTATGTTTAGGTGCGTCTTCGGATCCTAGTGGGGCCCGAAGTTCGAGGATCCAAGCGGCCGCTCGTCCAGAGACATCAGCCGCAAGCGGCAAATGATCATCGTGCCGTCTGGAGTGGGTGTTGGACTTCTATGACTTACGAGTTTCTGAGGTCGAGGGCTTGTAGGGTTGATGATGTTGGCCTTGTTTTGTGCCTTGGGGTTTGCTTTTGGATGGCTTTGGGTGAAGACGCGGTATCTATGGCGCAGACCTTGCCTGTAGAGCTCAATTTTCTAGGGTTCAAGGCTCATCCACGGAGCGCAAAAGCCCTAAACTCTTCCACTCTAAACCAAACCCAATATAACCTCCTCTATGTTGGGCTTAGCGTTGAGGGTCCTTGCGAAGACCATGCGTCCAAGGAAGTGGGCCCAATCCCCACATCTTACACAGCTCTTTCGGCCTTAACTCATAAGCCCACCATCTGTGAAGCTCAAGTGCGGGTGGCTATTATCCTTAAGGAAGTTGAGTCAAGCACGTTTGTATTGGGCCTTGCGGCTTATGTCATTGCCTGAGGCTTGTGGGCTCGGGGATATTATACAGGGAGTCTCTTCTCGCCATCGCAATGCCCCTCAAGCGCGACTGCGATTCTGTGCCGAAGTATGCTGATGTTATCTCAGCAGCCTCGGGGCATTGGCAGAACGAGGGGTGACATACAACATAACAATCAGGAGCCAACAATCTAGGAGCTCAACAATCGGTTACTAGAAGGTATGTATGAGCTGCTGCAAGGTACTTCCTATCACTAGCTCACGCTCTCTCTCCCTTTCTCTCCCTCTCTCTCTCTCTGTGTCTCTCTCTCGCTCTCTCGCTCGCTCGCTCTCTCTCTCTCTCTCTTTCTCTCTCTTTCTCTCTCTTTCTCTCTCTTTCTCTCTCTTTCTCTCTCTCTTTCTCTCTCTTTCTCTCTCTTTCTCTCTCTTTCTCTCTCTTTCTCTCTCTTTCTCTCTCTTTCTCTCTCTTTCTCTCTCTTTCTCTCTCTTTCTCTCTCTTTCTCTCTCTCTCTCTCTCTCTCTCTCCGTCTCCGTCTCCGTCTCCGTCTCTTGAACCTCTTTTCTATCCATCCAACCCCTACCTCCCTCTCAACATTGTTGGTGGACCGAAAGCCCAAGCCCCATCCCCGAAGCTAATGGCGTCCTTCCAACCCCCCTCTACAATCCAAGAGTAAAAGGAGGGACCCTTAATAAGGACCCCTAGGTATATACCCTTAATATAGCTATTATATACCCATTATATAGCCCATTATACGGTAGGGGTCCCCATTAAGGGTCCCTCCTTTTCCCCTTTGATACAAGGGACTCAAATGTGCCGGGTACGAGCCTTTCAGCTTGAGCTGGAGCGGCGTAAGCAGATCCTGCCGTGGCTTCTGGTTTACCTGTTAACCCAAAAACCTCACCTTTATGGGGCTCCTTATGAAGCTTCTGTATACAATTCCTGAAAAGGTAGGTGTTTTAGGCCACGAGTACGGGCAGGGTTTTGGCCCAGGCGTGCCGGGCGTGAAAGGGTGGGACGGATCCATAAACTACAAACTCTCGAGATCCTGTGCCCCAAAGGAACCTAACTTGAAACGTCAGCTCAAAACTGCAAGCAAAGCTACATGCCAACCAGTAGTCTACGGTGGCATACCACATGAATCTGTATTTGTTATATGCAGTAACTGGTCTATGTATGTATGAATCTACCCATCTATCTATCTGTCTATGATCTATCTGTATCAGTATATACATATATATGCACACACACACACACGTCTGTACATATATGCAAATAGATGCTGTATGCGTCCATATTGTATGTGTGCCTGCACAGTGGCTCTGTGAAGGATGGCAAGCAGAAGAAGAATAATAAGATGAAGAACAAGACCGTGTTAGTCACGATGGCCCAGATGGCTGTGCAGCATAAGGTTCGAGTTCCGCGGCGAATGAAAGGCGACAGTCAAATGGGCCGATAAACGGGGTGAAGCATCTACACGAAGAACCCCCTGGTAGAAATTGAGAGCGGGTAACAAGTTCTCGCCGCGGACCAAGACACGTATATATGCATGGGTATGTATGTGGGAAAAGGCACATACATGCATATTTGCAGACGTACCTACTTACAGACATGCATGCACGTGTGTATGTATGTATGCATGTCTGTGAGTATGTATGTACATGTGTGTGTATGTGTATATGTCTGTGAGTGTATGAATGTATTTATGAAGGTATGTATGTATGTAACTAAGCGTGTGTGTATGTGTATGTGTATGTGTATGTGTATGTGTGTATATATATATATATATATATTTGTATGTGTGTGTGTATGTATGCATGCATGTATGCTCTCCGGTACCGGGCCGCCAGCGCCCTCCCCCCCCCCCCCCCCCCCCCCCCCGATGATATCACCCCCTACCCCCCCGCTGCCCTGCTCCTGCGCACCCACCCGCCCTGCTGCGCGGATCGGGAGTGTCGCACTATGCCCTGCCGTGTGCGGAAAGCGGCAATCGGTGCAGTGGTTTCCAGCATCTGACATGAATTGCAATGCTGAATTATGAGGGTGTTATGGCGATGGTGATGGTGGCAGATATTCTTTTGAAGGTATTAATGATGAAGATGACGACGACAAGGATGATGTTGAGCATGGTCTGATTGTCGACTCATGTCCCGGTCTACAGCAGCACAACATCATGAGCAGTATCACCGGTGCCACAGCAAGAGGGAAGACAAGGAGTAACACATAAGAACGTCGCGGCAAAAAGAGTACCACCACAGGCCCCACACCACAGGGTGGAGGCGGGGGGGAAGGGGGGAGGATACCACGGGGTGCGGGGAGGGGGAGGGGTGTGGCAGCCCCGCATCATGTATGTAGGTATGTATGTAAGAAGGGGTGTGTGTGAACTGTTTGTTTGTTTTGTGTGTGTATACATATCTGTATCTGTGTCTGCAAAGGTATAGGGGCATGTATGTGTATATGTGTGCAAACATATATGCACATATTATATATATATATATATATGTATATATATATATATATATATATGTATATATATATATATATGTATATATATATATATATATATATGAGCCATTTTGATATACGAATATGTGTTGTGCAATTCGTAATGCGTATACATGTATATAAGTTAGCGTAGTCAGGGGTGGTCTTTGAACGCTAGATGTGCAGGGCTCGGCCCGAAACTCCCTCTTTGTCTCTCTCTGTGGAGTCGATGCCGAGCAGACCTGATTGATGCTGTTCTTGTGGCTTAGGGCTTGCTAAGTTGTTTAGTGTGTGTGTGTGTGTGTGTGTGTGTGTGTGTGTGTGTCCGTTCATGCGCTTGTCTTTGCCACCCAAAAGCGCTTTATGATGCACCTGTTTGAGAGATCGTGTCCTCGTTGTTCTCAACCGCTCTGCTCGATTGGCAGGGCGGAGCCCTCTGCTCTGCTGACTACTTGCTCCTGACTTCGATGCCAATACTTGGACCGGAAGAGGCTTGCGCCGCAGGGGGCTGCAGTGACTAATACATATTACATATATACATACACACATCATGTTTATAATTACTGTATGCGAATGAAAATGTGTATGTACTAGGCCTGTCTCATACATCCAAAGATATGTTCATATGAGCCCGCGCGTGTACACGTGTGTGTGCCCACATGAAATCAGAGAAACAGTCCGGTGACAGGTTCTCCAGAATCGGGAGCTGCAATTTCTCATCTATCTCCTGCCAGCCGACGTGCTTCCGGTTTCGGGTTTAGGGTTTAAGGGTTTAGAGTTTAAGGCCCCTGGGCCCTGGACCACATGGACGTAGAAAAAAGGAGGACCTTAGCCCAAACGCCACTTTGTAGCAGCTACCAGAAACGCTAGGAACAGTAATTACTTCGCATTTTCCGCATCAGAAACGGCATCTTGTGTTCGAAACCCAGAATGCCAAAATGCCAGAACACAAAAAAGGAGGAACCACGTGTGCGAGGCGAACGTTCTTAAATGCCAGTTAGTTGGGGCTAGCCATTTCCACCCCTAGGATTACGTTGTTGCGTGCGACTGGACGGTTTTTAGGGAACGATGGCAGCGCTGTGATGCTTCCTGGCACAGCAGCCGGGCCGCATCAGGCCTTGCCACAATAAGACAATAAGACCATCAAGAAGGAGCAGCAGTGCAGATAAGGAAGAAGAGCGGTGACAACAGCAGCATCAACGGCCACAGCAGCAACAGCAAAACGACAACAACGACCTCTCAAGTGACAAGCGCTGCAGCAGCAGCTGCTCCTGCAACAACTTTCACCAACTGCTGCTACAAATGCTACTGGTCAGTTGCTACTGCACTGCTAGTGCTGTGGGGCTGCTATTGCCAACACTGCTACTGGAACTATTGATTTTGGTGATAGTGATGGCCCACCACTACTGCTACGACGACGACGTTTCTGCTCCTGCTGCCACTGTCTGACGCCACGGCTACAAATACTACTGCTGCTGCTGCTGCTACTACTACTGCTACTACTACTACTGCTACTACTGCTACTACTGCTACTACTGCTACTGCGACTGCTACTGCTACTGCTACTGCTGCTGCTGCTGCTGCTGCTGCTACTGCTACTGCTACTACTACTGCTACTGCTACCACCACTGCTACTGCTACTGCTACTGCCACTGCCACTGCCACTGCCACTGCCACTGCCACTGCCACTGCCACTGCCACTGCCACTGCCACTGCCACTTCCACTGCCACTGCCACTGCCACTGCCACTGCCACTGCCACTGCCACTGCCACTGCCACTGCCACTGCCACTGCCACTGCCACTGCCACTACTACTACTACTACTACTACTACTACTACTACTACTACTACTACTACTACTGCCATGACTATGACTATGACTATGATTACGACTATGACTACCACTCATCTACGACGACCACGACTACGACGGCGGTGGAGATGTCGACGACTACGACTAAGCCTACGACTACGAGGATGTCGACGACGACGAAGACTCAGACGACTACGACGGCTCCTACAACAACGGACAAACGACTAGTAGCAACAAGAATAAGAATGATGGTAGGTGCAAAAACAATTGCGAACAACTTGCTCTGCCGTCCGGCAAGTCCTTGCTGGTAAGCTTAAGATGCACGCTCTTCGTATCAACGTCCTTTTTCCTTGGCTTCAAGCAGTTCAGGGTGCTGGCTCAAAAAAGCGCTACACCTTAAACCCTAAAACCTAAAACCATCAACCCTGAAACCCTAAAACCCTAAACCCTAAAACCATAAAACCCAAAACCCTAAACCCCAAAACTCTAAACCGCCCTACAATGGAAGGAAACCATCGGATTTCAGACGGGTGTCGGCGTAGGTTATGCAGCAACCTTATTAATTAGGGCTTACAGGGCCTGTGGTCGAGAGAAGGCCATGAACCTGTATATCTCTTTGGGCTCCATCCGTCCACTTGAGCCTCTCAAGTAGTTGAGTGGAACAAGGCAACCAACCAAAAACTTTCGAGAAGCTTGGTGCTCAGACCCTAATCCCTAAACCCTGCACCCCAGACCCTTCACCCTAGAACCTAAACTCGAAACCCAAGCCCAAACCCTAAACCCCACCCTTCACCCTAAACCCTTGACCTTCGAAATGAAACCTTCATGCCTTAAAGCTACGGTCGCTCTTCTAGAGGCTTGGGGCTTCCAACTTTCGAGTTTCAGGGCGTCGAACTCAAGAGTTGCAAGTCTGGGATGCCCAGTAATGGCCCAATAACCAAGGAACAAAAAGGGCTCCCTTTTTGGTATTGGGTACCTTTAATGTGGGTGTCGGTTTAGGAATATAGGCTCCTTTAATGCGTCGGCTCGGGGGCTAATTCCGAATCTGACAAAAAAATTGGGGTGAACTAATTAATGCGTTTTTTTTTGGCTGGGGTGATTTTTTGGTGGCGGGGCTGTGCTATTTGCTGATGGTCACTCTTAAGGCAGCCACGACCTGAACCCCCACCCAAACCCCCACCCAACCCTAAAACCCTGGCCCTGAAGCCCGAAAATCTCTTGCAGAATTGTTTCGCTTATTGGGGCGTCAGGAATGAAAATCTGTACTACTACCGTACTACTACTGTACTACTATTCTACTATACCTTGATTATTGGGGGGGGGGCTGCTAGGGTGAACCGCCGAATCGGGGATTGGACCCTAGCTCAAAAGAGGCCTCTCCAGTACTAAAGTTTGTATAAACAATTAAGTTTTGGGTCGAATCTGGACCGACCCCCCTTTGGAAGGGTTTAAGGCTTAGGGTTCAGGGTTTGTTATAGGGTTTAGGAGTGTAGGATTCTTTAGGGTTTAGGGTTCGGGGTTTAGGGTTTCAGGCGCTGGCTTTATGCTTTGCTTATTGGGGGGAATGTACTCACTGGCTTTATGCTTTGCTTATTGGTACTATTACTGTATTATTACTGTATTACTACTGTACTACTGTACTGCTGTGGTACTACTACTGTACTACTAGTGTACTACTATTGTACTACTACTGTACGATTACTGTACTACTATTGTACTACTGTACTGTTACCGTACTACTACTGTACTACTATTGTACTACCACTGTACTATTGTTGTATTACTATTGTACTACTGCACTATTATTGTACTACTACTGTACTACTACTGTACTATTATTGTACTACGGTACTATAATCGTACTACTACTGTACTACTACTGTACTACTATTGTGCTACTATTGTACTACTGTACTATTATTGTACTACTGCTGTACTACTATTGTACTACCACTGTACTACTGTTGTATTACTATTGTACTACTGCACTATTATTATACTATACTACTACTGTACTACTATTCTACTATACCTTGATTATTGGGGGGGGCTGCTAGGGTGAACCGCCGAATCGGGGATTGGACCCTAGCTCAAAAGAGGCCTCTCCAGTACTAAAGTTTGTATAAAAAATTAAGTTTTGGGTCGAATCTGGACCGACCCCCCTTTGGAAGGGTTTAGGGCTTAGGGTTCAGGGTTTGTTATAGGGTTTAGGAGTGTAGGATTCTTTAGGGTTTAGGGTTCGGGGTTTAGGGTTTCAGGCGCTGGCTTTATGCTTTGCTTATTGGGGGAATGTACTCACTGGCTTTATGCTTTGCTTATTGGTACTATTTCTGTACTATTACTGTATTACTACTGTACTACTGTACTACTGTGGTACTACTACTGTACTACTAGTGTACTACTGTACTACTATTGTACTACTACTGTACGATTACTGTACTACTATTGTACTACTGTACTGTTATCGTACTACTACTGTACTACTATTGTACTACCACTGTACTACTGTTGTATTACTATTGTACTACTGCACTATTATTGTACTACTACTGTACTACTACTGTACTATTATTGTACTACGGTACTATGATCGTACTACTACTGTACTACTACTGTACTACTATTGTGCTACTATTGTACTACTGTACTATTATTGTACTACTTCTGTACTACTATTGTACTACCACTGTACTACTGTTGTATTACTATTGTACTACTGCACTATTATTATACTACTACTGTACTACTACTGTACTACTATTCTACTATACCTTGATTATTGGGGGGGGCTGCTAGGGTGAACCGCCGAATCGGGGATTGGACCCTAGCTCAAAAGAGGCCTCTCCAGTACTAAAGTTTGTATAAAAAATTAAGTTTTGGGTCGAATCTGGACCGACCCCCCTTTGGAAGGGTTTAGGGCTTAGGGTTTAGGGTTTGTTATAGGGTCTAGGAGTTTAGGATTCGTTAGGGTTTAGGGTTCAGGGTTCAGGGTTTCAGGCGCTGGCCCAGACCCCCCCGACCCCCGACCGCGCAGTCGCGCAGAACCGCAGACCCTGCACCCAAGCCAGCCCCCAAACCCCGGCACCTCCCAATTCCCTGCCAGGGGCTACCGGTTCCATATTAAATAGGATTTTTTTTTTTGGTCGGGGGGGGGGGTACCCCACTATTAAACCGACACCCACATTATAAGGAACCTAGGACTACAAAAAGGGAACAAGGGTAGTGCTGGGCATCCTAGAAGTTTAGGATAGCTAAGGCCTTACATCGAGGTCAGAACAATGAAATGCACGATGCGCTGCCTTAGAGTCCCCACACCTCTTACTTAACTGATATAGGAGCCTTAATAATCGGAATAGGGTTTGGGGCCCATTATGCTATAATTATAATAAGGAAACCCCACAATAGCATTGGTAATTATTCAAACATTTAAGCCCCTGCATTAGTAGATGACCAACCTAATTCCAAACTCTATGGCTCTGAATCCCGCTTCGTCGCAAGGACTGAAAATATGAGATTCGGGGTGTCACCGGCTGGAGTTTTCCTTGGGGCCCCATAGTAGTTCCTCTTACTACTACGGGGCCTTAGGGTAGGGAGTAGGTGGGGTTTATGACCGAGACGCTTGAGCACGAAGCTCACTTGGTGAGCCATCTCATACTCTGTCCTCAGCAAGTGAGGCCAGTGAAGCCTGCAACCCTCTAAGAAGCACCCCTTGAATAAGGAATAGTCCGTGATTACATGCCAAGTCTTGTGAGGATCTACTGTAATGATGTTGGGACTATTCCTGGATTGGCTGGATTGGAGACCATCTTAGCCCAAATCGCAACCCCATAAACCCTAAACCCCTAAGCCCCCAAGCCAAAAAGCAAAAGCAAGCCTGGAGACACGCCTGCAGTTTAGCTGAAGTGTCTTGTGTCGTCGGGTGTCCGGTATGACTGTGGAGTTTCTTTACTGCTTCTTCATATTTGCTGGGGAGAGTCCTGGGGGAGCTCTCTTCTCTCCAAAATTCACGGTCTAGGCTTCGGTTCACTGGCAGCCGAAGGGCGCGACGGTGGCGCTGTGCATCTGCTTGATCCTGTTCACCTCCTCAACCGTTAAGCCTGATGCCGTGGACTTCGAGTTTTCTTGGGGGGGAACATCGGAAGCAAGTCTGGTTTCAGACCCTTCATGGCCACTGCTTCCCCTTTGAAACCATACACCAGAAGCGTCACAACTACAAATTCTGACGCTGAAGGAGCCAAACCCTGAACCCTAGACACAAGTTTATTGTCCCAAGCCCTTCCTAAACCCTAAACCCCTAAACCCTGCCCTAACCCCTAAACTCCAAAGCCGTATAAACCCTAATCCCTAAACCCCTAAACCCTATTCGAACACTTTAAAAACCCTATGCACAAAAGCGGTGCAAAGCCGTCATCACCCTCTAAAGCCCGGCCAAGACTGAGTATACCTTCCCCTGCCTGGAATACAACAAACCCTATAGATACGTAGGCCTTAAAGTAGTCCCTTTCTTTATAGGCACTTTCAGGCCTAAGTACCTACTATATGGGTACATGAAGCCTTTTGGGAAAAAGTGTACCAGGCGCGCACTCCACGCGTGGGGCCTGGACTGTCAACCACCCTAAACCCTAAACCCCTAAACCCCCAAACTCGAAATCCTAAAACCCTAAACCCTACCCAGACCCGCCCCCAAGGGCCCTTTAATCAAGTCCTTATGGCCCTAAATAGTGGGAATTTGGGGTATATTAGAGGGTACTTGGGGGGTCTAGGTGAACCCTAAACCCTAAATCCTAAACCCCTAAACCCGTACAGTAGAAGCCAGAAAGTTGGAATATCATTATCGTAACCCTTTTAAAGTAAATTATAGGGTATCCTACCATGACACCATATTCCAACTTTCTGGAGTTCCCTTTAAACCCAAAACTCCTAAACCCCTGAACCTCTTAACCTAAACCCTAAACAGTCACCAGGCCGTAGCTCCTGAGGATGCACCAAAAAGCGCCCCCAAAAAGCACCGAAGCAAAATTGATGATAGGGATATCCCCATATGGGAGTTTCCGAAAATAAGGGGTACCCCAGTTTGGGGTCCATATAATAAGAGTCCTACTAGGGTACTAGATTAGGGTCCCCTATTTTCGGAAGCACCCATATAAACCCCCTTATTATGAAGCCCATTAAGGTGAGACATCCCTAAAAAATACTTATGCTTACGTCCTTTGGGAGGGTCCCTAATCACACCAGACCGTCGCAAAACCTACGCAAGACAGCCAATGGCGGCGGCTGTGGGTTTAGGGCTCATACTCTAGGGGCCTTAATAGTTAGAATAGGGCTCCTTTTAAGGGATCTATAAGGGTTACTATAAGGGATCTATAAGGGTACCATGATATAGGGACCTTAATGAGTAGAGTAGGGTTTTGGGGCCCATATACTGTCATTAAGGCCCCTGTATTACACTTGGTACAAAGGGAAGTTGATCCGGCTGAAACTGGTTCATTCTCTCTTCACCAAAGTTGGAGCTCGTAAAGGATGTCAATCACCGGGCCCAGTGCCAGTTCGCAGATGACCCTAAGCAGGAAAGCCCTAAAACCCTAAACCCTAAACCCTGAACCCGAAATTCTAAACCCGAAACGGTAAACTCTCAACATCTCTAAGCCTCAACTCTAAACTCTAAGCCCTCCGGTTGATGATATAAATCCTGCATGACCCATTGTAGGGAAAATACCATAATTCCCATAGTTTACGGTCCTTAAGGTAATGCAGGATTTAAATCATCAGCCCTAAACCCGAAACCCTCAAACCCGATAGATCCCTCAAAGGAACGCCTTAAAAGTAGCCTTATAGATCCCTTTAAAGGAACCCTGGGATTTATATCATCAACCGTAGGGACCCGGGTCTTCTCTTTAACTCGAACCCACCAGCCTGTGATTTCTGCCGCTGCTTTGGCAGTAAGCTTCTTTTCCTATCCGATCTCGTCTTTTTAAAGGGGTCTTTACCGACGCTGGTATCGGATCGGGTTTAGAGCTTCGGACTTTGGGGGTGTTGGGATTTTTGAGCCCTGGGGCATTTCAGCACTGTCCAGGTTTTTGCAGTGAGCTCGTCGGCTCAGGCCTTTTGTTTAAGGGGTTTCACTAGGTTGCCCCTCAAAAGCCTCTGAAAAACATTCGTAAAAAGTCTCCTCCTAAGCCCAGAAAGGGAAAACATGAAATGTCCCAAATTCAAAGGCCTACCTTGTTTGGGATGGCTCAAGTTCAAGCTTTTCCAGGGATTGCAGATGCGGAGCGTTCGGTCGGAGTTCGGGAAAAAAATCTGGCAAAGCACCGAATGGGTGGTTGTCAAAATTAGGGTCCCTTTTGTGGTATCCTAAATAATAGGTGCCGTATTGTATTAGGGACCCAAAAAAAGACCATAATTTTGACAACCACCCAAATGCCCTAATGTGCGCTCCATTCCAAGCGATCTGCCCAGAGACTCCAATATCCCTTAATTAAGGGGATCCCCAATATGATTTAAGGAGTATTCCCTAATTGAGGGGAATTGGAGTCTCTGGGTGTGTCTGCCACAGAGCTGCAGGATTTGGGTCGGTGCCACAGGGATCAATGCAGTTGGAATAGGGGTTTGGGAACTATTATAGTATGACTATGTATGATTTTACACGGGCTATATAATTGGGACCTCGTTAATTTACAAAGCAGGCCACTGGTTATGCGTGTCAAGACGAGAATGCTCATGGATTCACCGATTAATCGCCCTTACTGGTGACTCAGCTTGTGGCTAAATGTTTTCAGGTGCTCTAACCTCAATTTGACAGCTGCAGCTGATATGCTGGCCATGACATGGTCATGAACACTCGCGCTATGTACTACTAATACTGCTGCTCTGGCCTTTGACTGTCTGCATCTTGATATTCAAAGTACCCTAGCATTATCATTGCCCATCAGCAGGCATGGATCAAAGGACACTTTTACGGATATCATTCGCATGGTATCTACATTCCCATTCAGTAGAACTGAACCTCGTTATCAACGGCGGCATTATCATCAGCATCATCCTCTGAGTCTTCATGAGCACCAACATTGCGGTCGCAAAGCAGAAGCTGCGGCATGAGCAGCAATAGTGGTCGTCGTCGGTAGTAGTAGTAATAGTAGTAGTAGTAGTAGTAGTAGTAGTAGTAGTAGTAGTAGTAGTAGTAGTAGTAGTAGTAGTAGTAGTAGTAGTAGTCGTAGTCGTAGTCGTAGTAGTAGTAGTAGTAGTAGTAGTAGTAGTAGTAGTATCATGCAGCATTTGTCTTGCGACAGTGCCGTCCTCGAGCTTTCGCAGCACGTTCCTAACGAACTTCATCTGCTCCTGCCAGCATCACCATTCTTAAGCTTGCTGTCAGAAAGCCCAATACTGACCCGCAAGCCTGAACCTGTTCGCAACCACGACTTCTGCAAAAGAAGGGATTAGTCAACAACACTAACAACAACTGAATACGCTGCTCAGTACGAGGCGGACCATGAGAGCTGTCCCGGTACTGTCCAAAACCTTCTAGGACCATCAAAAGCGTGGCTGTTGGGACTTTGGTTCATGATGTGAGCGCCCTCGCCTCACATTCGGGCACCCTGAAAGGAGAAAATCAAGGCGTGCAGAAACTAGATCATACAGCAGGGATGCAGGACCCTCCCGGCACTACAACACACCATCCCCTAAGTGGCAAGTAGACGCGCTCACGTCCATAATTCTGAAACGCTGATGCCCTCAACGCCGACGCCTTCTCTTAGCAAACATTATGGTAACTCTCATCGTATCCCTTATAGCAACCCTTGTAGATCCTTCATTGTCCTCAATGATAGTAACTCTTTATAGTAACTCTTTAAAGGTAACCCTTGTAGGAACCATAAAACGGGGAGCCCTGACACCCCCAAAATCCTCGAATAGAAGCCGAACCAACGGATTGAGCACCTGTGCCTCCTGCCCCGTTTAGGGCTGAGGGTTTAAGGTTTGGGGTTTAGGGTTGAGGGTTTAGGGTTGAAGGTTTAGGGTTTACGGTTGAGGGTTTAGGGTCCCTGAACTAAACCCAAGCATCATCAAGAAGCCCCAGACAGGTCCCAAAAGCCCACTGCTCCCGAAGGCTTAGTAACCCAACTCTGCCCTATTCTTACCTTTGGTTAGTAGGGAATGGAGGAATGAGGTACAATTATAACTACTATTACTGTCATTCTTCCATTCCCTACTAACCAAAGGCAAGTATTGAAGCCTGAAGTTCTCAAACCCTGCGACTCGGTAGCCACAAGCGCTACAAAACTAGCTCTAAAAAGCCCTCCTTTGGGAACATTCGCCCATTCACCGCACGATCTGCCTCGTGAGATGGAAAAAGCGCTGGAGTGCCTGCTAGAGCTCCAGTTACATTTGCATACTGAAGCTTCTCACCGAGATAATCTTCAGCCTCCTTCCACACCGATAGATGGAAACCACAGAAGACGAGGCGGTCAATGGTTGCCACTAAAGACTCAGTACCGGGCTTGATGGGGATGCCCGGTGCCACAAACGCCAATGTGATCATTTTCTTGGTTAGCAGTCCAAGCATTCCAAGCTCTTTGGACTTTTCCTCCGCTCTGCCAAGCACCAGGATGTACGATAAGCTGGTCGTAGCAGCATGGCCTGACACGCCGCTGCTCAGGCCATGCAGAGAGCGGACAACGCCAATGCCTTGCACATGGACTGTCGGCTCAAAAGACATCCTGAGGCTTACTACAATGAGACTGTAGTCCACATAGAACTTGGGTGGCACTCCTGCGTTCTTGGCCTCCTCTTTTGTCTTCAAAGTGCCATTGTTGTTGAAGATCGCTTCCAAGTTGCTAGCAACGTCTGCCAGTGACCACCCAGCTAGCCAAAGCATTATGACTCCAATGCTCTGCGCCAGCATTGGATTCAACTGTCGGGGTTTGGTTTTAAACGTTTTAAGGTGAAGATAAGATATAGCAGGGCGTATCGGGCTTGTAATATGGCTGTGGGTTTGGAAAGAAGTCTTAAAGAGCCATCACGCAGAGCCCCAGAAACACCGTGAATCCTGCAAGCCCGCCAAAAGCCTTGAGCCCCATAAGGCCCGAAAGCCATCAAGGAAAAAATTTTGGAAACCCTAAAGCCCCAAACCCAAAGCCCTGCACCGCAACCTATACTAAACCACCTCGAAATCCTAGCAAGACCCTAAGCCCCTGACAAAAAAAAAACTCTGAAACCTCGATAAGATCCGTCACACTGTATTCTGCACCATAGCGCTGTGTATTAAACCCTTTCATGAAGACTAGCAACCACTGGCCTTCTCCTTGTCGAGGATCTCAGGCTTTTTCTTCGCCTCCTGTTCGAGAACCTGCGCTGTTTCGGTGGAACATCGACGTTTAGGGTTTACTAGGATGCCCAGTAACCTAGGAATAAAGGGCTCCCAGTGGGCTGACTTTTTGGTATTGGGTACCTTTGTAAGGAACCGAGGACTACAAAAAGGGAATAAGGGTAGCACTGGGCATCCTAGTTTAGGGTTTCGGCGGAACAGGGTGTCACGGTTTAGGGTCGAGGGTTCTAGGTGTTAGAAGTTCAGGCTTTAAGGCGTTGGGGTGTGGGGTTGTTTCGGTGCAGGGCAGGTGGTTCTTGTTCAGGGCGTCCTTTTCAAATCGGATCTTGGGTTAGGTTCTGATAGCAAACTCCTGCGCTTAACGCAACCTGGCACAGGAGCTACAACAGCGAGTGCCTACCGGGCTGTGCTGCACAATCCATCAACAGCTGCCGTGGCAGCAGGGTCCATAAATGATCGCCCTGTCGTAGGACGGGCACACTACACCCTCCGATGAGGGAGGGCGGGGAGAGGTTTTGAACTCGCTCATCCATGTGCCACAGGCACCTGCAACGGCACCAGTCGGAGCTAGAGTTGGACCTTGAGTTTAAGTGTGCAAGTGTTCCAGCCATGCACATGTGCCAGCACTATGTTAGCAACAGTTTAAAGCCGGTTCGTGCGATTGGCGGTTGGGGCTGAGTTCAGGCGTAAAGCCCATCCCCACAGCCATGATGTAGGTTTGAAAGAACGCGACCGGATCTGCGAGTGTGTGTGTGTATGTGTGTATATAATATATATATATATATATATATATATATATATCTGCGTGTGCGTGTGTGCGTGTGAATACATCCTTTTGTAAGACTTTGCTTCAACTCAACCCTGCAACCCCAAAACCTGAAGTCGAAGCACTACACCCCAAAACCTCAAACCACAAACCCAACCTCGATTGCTGGCTAAATGGCAAAAGTCATACTTGCAATTCTTGCTTAGAGCTAGGCTATGATATACGTAGCCCCCATTCCTAGTGGAATCGTTAAGCCTACATTGCTCCCGAATGCATCCCTGAACCCTACAAGCCCCAACCATCCCTAACCCCAAACCCTAGACCCAAAGACTCCAATATCCCCTATTTAAGGAATATACCTTACATCTAAAAATACTAGGGATCCTGCTCTAACTATGATTTAAGGTCTGTTCCCTTTTAGGGATCCGCCCCAGAAGCCTCACCCTCGGCGTCGATCCGATAGCTGAGGGTGATGTCGTCCTCACCAGCACATACTGTTCCGATTTGTAGGGCTCGGTTACTGCTACTAGGGCCACTAGGGTGCTGCTAATGCGACAACGAAAACGACGAGGAGCACGAGGATCACTACCATTACTGATGCTCCTCCTCCGCCTCCGACTGCTGCTGCTGCTACTACTACTACTACCACCACTACCACTACCACTCTACCACTCTACCACTCTACCACTCTACCACTCTACCACTCTACCACTCTACCACTCTACCACTCTACCATTCTACCACTTTACCACTACCGCTACGGCTACGGCTACGCCTACTGCTACTGCTACTGCTGTTACTACTGCTGTTACTACTACTGTTACTACTACTGTGACTACTACTACTACTACTACTACTACTACTACTACTACTACTACTACTACTACTACTACTACTACTAATACTAATACTAATACTAATACTAATACTAATACTAATACTAATACTAATACTACTACTACTACTACTACTACTACTACTACTACTACTACTACTACTACTACTACTACTACGACTACTACTACTACTTCTCCTCCTGCTGCTGCCACTAGTACGACGACTACGACGATGAAGACAACGAAAATCATTTCCTCTACTACAACGACGGACATGCAAACACGAGAATTCTGCTGCTGTCAACCCGTCCTACCCCCTAATTAATTTCCGCCACCCCGGATGAGCAAAGCCAGTTCTGGACACGGCTGTTGATAATCCTTCATGGTGAAGGGGGTCTTTAACCACAACCCCACGTTAACACATGATGCAGGCAGAGAGCACAATCAGAGTAATAGCTTGAAGAGTGGCATTGCCCAGACAACTCATGCTGATGCCATTGTGCGACCGGTCTACCACAAATTATTCCGGTTAATAAACTTTCAAGCTTCTATACTAGGCTCTGGGGTTGCGGGCGCTTTCAGGGGCTGACATGCTTAAGTTGAATGACTTCAACGACACCCCCTACTGAGTAGCATTGGGGCTACCACATTTCTAGCCGCTAGAACGGTGGTAGCCTGCCCACTAGGGGGTGTCGTTGGAGTCATTCAACTGAAGCATTCAGTGGTAAGCCTAAACCCTAAAACCCTAAACCCTAGAACCGAAAACCCAGATATAGGTACAAGGGACAAACAACTGGACTTCACGATGATCTTGAATGAGGTGCCCAAGAACCAGAAACCCTAAACCCTGCCCTAGACCCTAAACCCTAAACCCTACGAACCAGAAACCCTCATGTTCCCAGTATAGTATAATACGCCCCAAAAACCTGGTCTCATTAGTACTACAGGGGCCTAAATAATTAGAATAGCAATTGTACTATAATCATCATAATAAGGAACCCCCAAGATAGTATAGGTATTTAGGCTTCTATATTAACTCCCCATATCAAACCCCCGTCACGTTGGTCATAGCATGAACCCAAACCCCCGGGAGGATCTAGAAAGTAGATCCCCTAATTTGGGGCCCTTTACTACTAGGGGTACTTTATAGGAACCCCCCCATTAAGGGATCTACTATTTGGATCCTCCTGGGGCTCTGGGAGGGTCTCCTGGAGCAAAAAACTCTTCTCTGGCCGCAGCTTGTCCACTGCAACCTCGTTGCGGTTTACTTTTGGAGGTTTAGGGTTCGTGGGTTCAGGGTTTAGGGTTTAGGGGCTTAGGGTTCATGGGTAGTTATAAGGGTTCCTCTAAGGGTCCCTTCAAAGGGATCTATAGGGATTCTAGAAGGGTATTGGGTTTAGGGCCTACTTGGAGGTTCATGGGTTAGCTATAAGTGGCGTTATAATTAGGGTAGCTATGGTTATAACCCCTATTAGCGGACTTATAACCCCAGTTATAACTACCCAGGAACCTCCAAGTAGGGTTTAGGGATTGAGATTAAGATTTACGGCGCAGGGTTTAGCCAGACCCTGAAACCCTGAACCCTAATTAACGCCCTTCCTCGGCTGCTTGAACTCTAAAAGAAACCACCTGGTGAAGAGACTGGAGGCTTTCGCAGCTGGACTTTCGGTAAATGTTCTTTCCTGCCTTTGCTACGACTGAACATTCTGCGCTCTCTTTTCTGCGCCGTGCCCCTGCGCTCAATGACACAATTACTCTGTGCTCTCCATTCTGCTGAGCACCCCTGTCATCATTTGCTTTAAGGTAAAAGCCAGAAAGTTGGAATATGATTATCCTAAACCCTTTATGGTAAATTATAGGGTATCCTACCCTGAAACCATATTCCAACTTTCTGGAGTTCCCTTTACAAGAGCCTCTAGACTGGATCAGGAAACTGGACCCAAGAGTAACTTAGGAATAAAAAGGGTGCCCTTTCTGGCTTAAAGGGGCTTATAAGGAGAACCTGAACCCTCAAAAAAGGGAATAAGGGCCTACTCTGGGTCCTACGGTTGATGATAGAAATCCTGCATTACCTTAAGGACCCTACACTATGGGAATTATGGTATATTCCCTATTATGGGTCATGCAGGATTTATATCATCAACCGTAGGAAATGGTGTGAAGGCAGCCCGGGGGTCGGTATGAGCCCGCAAGATAGCAAAGCGAACTCGAACTCCGTCGCCCGCGCCCAGATGCCAAACCCTACGCCTAAACCAAAACCCTGAACTGAAAACTCTCAAACCCTACTTGGAGGTTCTTGGGTAGTTCTAAATGGGGTTATAAGTCCCCTAATACGGGTTATAACCATAGGTACTACCCTAGTTATAACCCCACTTATAACTACCCATGACCCTCCAAGTAGAAGCAACATCCCCCTCTGCTCGGCTCCTAGGGTTGAGGCTTTGCGCTGGTTTTATGGCTTCAGTCTTACGCTGCTGGGATCTGGCAAGATTGCATGCTACAGTAGTGCACCACAACAGTGCAATGTTACTCAAGGCTTTGTTGTCTCTCTCTCTCTCTCTCTCTCTCTCTCTCTCTCTCTCTCTCTCTCTCTCTCTCTCTCTTTCTTTACGCATACGTATAAGCTCACATACGTACGAATATGCTGGTATAGCGACCTGGAGTTTCTTTCTCGAGGTGATGCTTCCTTGATAACAATGCGTCTAATCTTCATGCCACCTTTGCTGCTGTACCAGCATGCTGCTGCTGCGATGCTACGAAATATGGTCATACCTTTAACTGAATGTGCTTTGTTGTACGGTCAGCCTAAAGCCTAAACTTAACGCGCTCTCTCTCTCTCTCTCTCTCTCTCTCTCTCTCTCTCTCTCTCTGTCACACACACACGCACACGCACACACACATACACACACACACACTCACACGCGCGCGCTCGCACGCTTCTCACATCGTAAACTGGAACTAGGAATGTTTTCGAA